AGGAGAGTGAACTGCCTGTCAGAAATCATAGCATGTCAGCTGTCTTAACCGCGGACACATACCAGCTTCATCACTGTGTCTGTCACGCGACTCTGTTCCCCTTTCGGTCTTGAACTGATGGTAAAACTAATGACATTATTTACTGTCTTTACATTTATTTTGAAAGATGAAGCTCGCGATTATGGTAAGAGGCGTTACATTTCCGACGAGTGCTTGTGGTGTTCGGCCAATCACAATGCACTGGGTCAGTTGGCCAATCAGAGCAGACTGCGCTTGTCGGAAGGAGGGACTTTGTAGAAAACGAAGCGTTTGAGAGAGGCGGGGCATAGAGGACCTACAATAATGTACAGTATTTGAAAAATAATGTGTTTTTTGAACATTAAAGCATGTCAACATATTCTGTTACACCAAATACACAAAATAATGATCTTTAAAAAAGCATCATATGACCCCTTTAATACATTTACAACTAATGCTATTGCAGTGAACTACAGTGTTTATCTTGTTAGGTCAAATGTTTTGTACTTTGTAATGCAATATTTTTCTTAGCAGAAGCTTTAAGATGATACACATGCACAGTAATTTCAATTTGCATTATATTTCATTTAATGTTCCTTTCAGTGAGCAAAATTTCAGTGCATCCCTTTCATCATTTCCTTCACCACTCACTTCTGCGAACACATGGCTCAGAACAGCTTCACAGCTCAATACAAGTGACGGGTCATATTTTTATGGAAATGTTTTCAATTACCGAACACACAGAGGATGCAATGTAAGGACAGCTTACCCAGGATTCATCTCGAGCCAGGCCTCTAACTGACTGGACTTGGGGGCATCTGTCCCCTGCAGCACTTTCCCAGTCTCAGTCTGAATTACTTTGACTGGCAGCTCACTCATCTGGCTGTTCTCATCTATGAGCTGCACAAATAAGTAAACATAAAAGCATGTTTTCTGTGACAAGCTGTGTTAGATTAAGTTTGACAGAGTGAGTTAACTGGAGGGACATACATTCATGTCTACTCTGCTTTCATTTTCGTAGCGATTTATTTACCTCTCCATCAGGCCAGATGGCTCCCATTCCTTCAGCATCGCCAGCTTCCTTCTGAAGGTTAAACATGAAAGAAATAAACAAGCATAGAGTCTTTGATGATCGTAGAAATGTCCTAAAGCTACTGACTGGAGTCGAGATTTACAAAACCACGGTGGGATAAACTGTAAGGAACTGAACCAAATGAAACATGTCTAAAATAACAACATCAAACTTCATCATAAGTGATTTTACGGTTTCTTTGTGACCTTTTTCTTCTTTCTCTTCCTCTTCTTCTCCTTGGCAGCTTGAGCAGCCTTGTGTTCATAGACAAGCTCAGTCAGGTTGGCCACGTATTCATCTGTCTGTTGAAGGAGGTAGGCCAGACGCTTGTCCTTCTTCTGATCAATTAGCTTCCTGTAACCTTCTTCATCCTCAGCCTAGTGAAAAGAGATGGAGAGCCTGTGAGAACCTTTAAGGAAAGCCTCTTCCCTAAGACCCTTAAAAGGATTTTGGTTTTTGCCTCTCCTTATATATATATTTTCTATATATAATTTAAATAAATTTTAAACAATATACAGACATTATTTTTTATTAAAACACACATTTTTTTTTTTTTTTTTTTTAAATGATTTAATTTTAAGAATTAATTAATTAATTAATTTAAGAATTAATGATCAACAGAAGGAAAATCACCAATTGGGCCATTTATTCAAGAGCTAGACTGTATGATGTGCTGTATGTTCATTTTGGAATGAAGTCAGCAAGACGATGTAAAAAAGTATTATACAGTATATGATGCTGGAAACAGCATGATGCATCATACCATCAGTCTCCTCATCCTCTCTTTCTCGATTCTTTCCTTCTCCTTATTCTGCTCTCTCTCTGTGTTGGTGTGCCATGTTGCGATGGCTTTAGACAGCTTTTGGATTTTTCCAGAGATGGATCTGTGATATTCTTTGAAATCTTTTGCATGTTGCAGAATGCTGTTGAGATATTCCTACAACAAGAAGAGAAAAACACCGCATGAATCAAAGAGCAAAATCTGGAGTTTGGTGTTGGCAAGATGTTTTAATTTTTTTAAACAAAGTCGCTTATGCTTACCAAGGCTGTATTCATTTTATCAACAGTAATATTGTAAATATTGTTATAATTTAAAGTAACTGTGATGGCAAAGCCGAATTTTTGGCACCAGTACTCCTGTCTTCAGTGTTACATGATACTTCAGAAATTACTAAACTGGGGCTCAAGAAACATGTCTTATTATCAACGGTTCAACAGTTGATACATTTGTTTTTCAGAATGCTTTGCCGAAGAGAAAGTTCAAAAGAACAGCATTTTTTTTTTAAATAAAACATTTCTGTAACATTATTTTTTTTTTACATGACTGACCCCACTTTAGAGCACCAGTGTCCATGCTAATCAAGGTCTCTAATTATAATTTAGTTCATAATTTCCAAACTCTAAGAATAAGAATAAAACTGCTTGCTGCTTGAAGACTTTTGTGTGAATGCTGTCTTTGTGTGTTAAATTAAAAAAAACATTCTGTGCTTAGTTTTAACTGCACAAACTGTTACTGTCAGACTGAAATACTTAGAGACATGTTTAAAAAAAGCTTTAGCCACCTGTTTCTGACTCTAGGCACCCTCAGAAGGTCAGACAAAGTGTCAACTATTACACACTGCCAAGAGGAACATTTTTCACTTTTTCTGGTGTTTAGCTTTAACAGCACTATCATACGTCCTTGTTATTGCCACACCGTGACTGTGCAGGCCAAGGAAATTTGATTCCTCATGATATGACTCCTCTAAAAACATCATTATCAGTTAGTCAATATGTAAGCACATAAATTGTGTATATGAGCATTTTGCTGTGGGAGCTTGTCTGTTGTTTTTTGTTAGTATATTGAGTTTATTTAGTCCATTGAATTGATTACACTTGGTACAATGATCATTCATTGATCACCTGGTGTTTCTGGCGGCGCTTCCTCTCCTGCTCAATCTTTTGCTGCTTCTCTAGTTTCTCTGTCATGCGAGCTTCTCTAAGTGTCTGTTTCTTGCTGCGCTTGTAGGCTTTGGAGTTCAGGGCCGTCTCCAGAGTTGTGTCTCGGCACATGCAGGCTACAACATCGAGCCTCAACTAAGAAAGAAAAGAAATTAATCATTGTCATCTGTGGCAAAATGCATTAAGCTAATGAGCTTCATCAAATGATAATCATATTCTGATGCATTTCACACATTTTCTTCATAACTGTTGCTAATTACAGCAGAAAAAGGCTGTGAATTGTGAAGGGACTGTGTGCTACAAATACAACATGGGCGCCCTCTAATGGTGAAAAAAACTTTAATATTCATAGCACAACTTCAGACAACATCACCATCCACACAATGTGAATAGGACAAAGCTCAATGGAACTTGCAAATCAAAAATATGTAAATTTTGAACAGCTTGGCTTATTGTAAATTATTCGATTTATTGTAAAGAAACCAAACGTAAGTGTCTCCCAATTTATGAGTGATTTATGAGTAATAAATGACTGGAAATATGCATTTATGAAGATTGTATTAGTTATGTGCACCAGTATAAGTGAGAATTATTTGAGTACTTTATTCATATTATTTATGACATGGAACTTGCAAATCAAAAATATGTACATTTTGAACAGCTTGGCTTATTGTAAATTATTCGATTTATTGTAAAGAAACAGCAAACGTAAGTGTCTCCCAATTTATGAGTGATTTATGAGTAATAAATGACTGGAAATATGCATTTATGAAGATTGTATTAGTTATGTGCACCAGTATAAGTGAGAATTATTTGAGTACTTTATTCATATTATTTATGACATTTATTTGTAATTTATTCATGGATTAATTATATACAAGAGTATCAAGGGTTTTGAAATGCTTTTATACCATTTTCAAGGAAAGTTTAAATGAAATGTTATAATATCATGTAGTGTAACCATCAATAAAAAAGACATATGTATAAATAAAATAAAATAACATATTTATAGATGTGAGTATACACATCTGAATTGTTTTCAAAAAAGTTTTTAATTATATTTTTCAGGGTAAAACATATTTATTAACACATTTCATAAAATTGTATTTCAAAAATATCATTAAGAGTTGCATCACATGATATTAATACAGTATTAATAAGCAATGGATGAGTTTAAAGATTATGCTAAACTATTCTAAAAAGTTTTTTTAAGAATTATTTTTGTCTTCATTATGATATCAGGACAGAAATATAATTTTTTTATTAAATAACACTTTTACACAGAATGATAAAATATTAATATTTATCAGTTAAAAACATCCTCATCATAGAAGTTGTTGTATGAATTACTTTTTTGAATAAATTAATAAATATGACAAAAAATGAGTGTCATGTCAATAACCCACCTGCCGCTGGAAGTTGAGCAGTCTTAAGGCCTTCAGCTCCACAGTAGCTTTAGTCCGCAGATCAGGTGGCAGCGATCCTGGCAGATTCTCCAGCTCCTGAATTCTGTGAGCAATCCTGGCCTGAAGACTTTGAACAGAAATGAAAAGGACAGGTGTACTGAATCCTATCAGATTGTTTTTTTTTTAAGAATAACCTATAATAGTCATTAAGTTAAAATATGAGATCAGAAACTGTCAATCAAGCAAGATGTCTCTGAAGGTGAACTTCCTAGGCATTAATAATTTCTAGTTACCTTAGAGTTCTCCAGAAGTATAAATCACCTGCAAGATCTGAACCTTTCACTCCATAAAAAATAGATAGTACAGACGGAAAAAAGAAAAATAAAAAACGTGGTGACCTCAAGGTACATCAAACAATCAACACATTCCTGTTGCTTCAGACAGTGCAAGCCAGTGTAATCACCAAGTTCTAAGGAACTTTCAGAAACCTCAGAGGGTTCCTCACTCTCCTCTAACATTCATCACAGCTCACAAAGTCCCCCAAAACAACACCCATATTTCTGGTGATATTTTACAGACAGACGAGCAATGGAAGACAGGTGGTTTTGCTTGAATCCACACCCAAATTTTGTTGTGATTGGCAAACCGCTTAGGGCATGTTCCGGAAATGACACACCTATTACCATAACCGCGATCTGCTCAACTGCAAATATTAATGATGGTGTCAAATTTTCCATATCATTTTTCCATACCAATTATGAACGAACAAGAGGATTGTGCAGAACCTTTGCAGCACGGATTTTACAGGACATTTCAGAGTGTTTTTGATGTTGTTGTTTTTTACAGTATGCTCTCTAGCACAATTCAACCAGGCCTTGTCCTTTTTTTTTTTTGCATATTCCGTGGATGGGAATTATTCAAATGAGTGAAATTATTCAATAAATATCTGGAAATATCTGGAAAAAGCATTGTAGTCCAAATGAGCTGTAATTGTTTGCTTCAGCAACAAAACTAAAGGCAAAATGTTCCAGCAAAATAAATATAAAGCAGGGCCATTCCGTGTCAACTAAACCAGAGGTCCCTGGCTCAAATTTTTTATTTTGCTAATATTTTTTCTGAAGAAAGATAAACATGTATAGTGATGAAAGCCAAAATATTAAATGTCATGGATGAATATTTACGGAGTAATCTGCTTTTTTGTAGAGGGGTGTCAAATGGCAATTTTCACTTGAGATACAGAGCCAAATTACAGGGGGTTAAAAATGACTTCATTGGCAGCATCATTGTTACTTTTACACAGAGATTGGTAGGTCTATTAGCAAAATCTGTTGACTTTAGCAATTGCATTATTTAGCAATTGCATTACGTGACAATGGTGACCATTCAAAAATGGGGAAAGAGCACTTTTCAAGTTTTTTTCTCCAAAGTTTGCAGGCCTGTAACTCAAAAAATATTAAAGATATCTTAATGCCCTTTTAGATATTGGGTCTTAATAAACTTCTCTTTTGGCATCTTAGTAGTGCCTAGAAAATGAAGATTCTAAAAGAAAACGTCATTAAGGACTAGAATCTAAAATCATATTGCAATATCTTTAATACTTCTTGAGTTACAGACATGCAAACTTTGGAAAAAGAATATTTACTGCACTTAGACATGCATGTTCAATGCAGTTGTTTTGACAGAAGGAAACAAGATACATTTCTAGTTTGAATATTATTTGCTCATCAGACTTTCCTCTTTAAAAGAAAAGAAGTATCATATTTTTCAAAGTGAACCACATTTGGTTTTTGACCACTGAAAATGTGTACAATTTAACGTTTTACTCCTGGAGCCATATTAAAACTACAATATCTCTGGAACTGAATCATATAGAGCCTTAAAAATAAAGATGCCAAAAGGGAAGTTTGTTAAGACCCAATATCTAAAAGGGCATTGGGATATCTTTAATATTTTTGAGTTACAGGCCTGCAAACTTTGGAGAAAAAAACTTGAAAAGTGCTCTTTCCCCATTTTTGAATGGTCACCACTGGCACATAATGCAGCAAAGATTGGTAAAGTCAACAGATTTTACTACAGTAATAGATCTACCAATCTCTGTGTAAAAGTAACATGATGCTGTCATCTTTCTGAAGTCATTTTTATCCCCCTGTAGTTTGGCTCTGAATCTCAGGTGAAAATGGCCATTTTGATGGCCATATTCATCTACGACATTTAATATTTTGGCTTTCATCACTATGCTTATCTTTCTTCAGAAAAAATATTAGCAAATTCAAAAATTTGAGCCGGGGACCTCTGGTTGAGTTGACACAGAATGACCCAGCAATTCATTTAACTTGGTACACATCCACATTTGGAATAACGTATAAAGATAGTAACACTAAAGTCTTAGAGACATGCCCCTTTAATTGCAGTGACAAAGACAAAGACATTAGTGCATCTGAGGTAACATCATAAACTAAAAACTGAAAATCATGACCCCTTTGACCAGTGTAGATTGCTTAGTGTAGATTAAGTTGAATTTAATTGCTCATTACATACCGGTATTCCCTCTCTTGCAAGAGTTCAACAGGATCCAGACCCTGAGGCTTCTGAATCGGTGTGATGCGATTCTGTTTCTGCTGAAGCTGGATAATGAGGGAGGGCTGGCCTGGTCCTGGCGGTGGCTGAGGTTGGGAGGTGAGGGAGGTGCAGGGCACAGGTTGTGTGCCAGTGAGGGCCAACGGGGGAGCTGGAGAGGGTCTGCCGCTGGGAGCTGGGACCAACAGCTTCTGTGGAGCGCTTGGGGTCTCTGAGCCTTGACCTGACAATAAAGGAGATGCTCTTTGTGAACGTCTTGTGAGATTTATCAAAATGTCATGTCTGTCAAAGAAATGCTCCTGAATGCCAAAAGCATTAAGCTTCCAGTGATCCATTACGCTGTTGTCAGTACAATCAATATAATGTGCCATTATGAAACGGCATAAGTAATATCTTTTATATTTCAGAAGCCCACTGTCGTTAGGATGTTTGATCATACTCAAAGAGTTCATCAAAGCTGTTGCTGAACGTTTTAAGACAGTTCAAAGCACAGTGTGAACTGACGTCCACCTCTGAAACGAAAAATCTTTACAAGGACTCATATGACCCATTCCAAGCCAAATTTAATGCCTTTAAAGAAACTTGATAAAGGGCATGCAATCCCTAAATGAGAACATAAACACAAGAGATGATTCAAGAGCAAGTTCTGGATCTTTATTTCTGGCTGGGCACAATCAATCAGTTGCTGAACCTGCCATGAGGGCATGCAATAATCCATAGTCATTTCATATCGAGCAAAAATGCAGTGAAAATGTCAATTGACCTGAGGTGATGCATATTATCTTCCACAAGTACAGTCAATTAGCAGTGGATTACAATTAAACCAAGCTGACTCACCAATCAAGCTCACTTGAAAAGAAAAGATGAACAATGAACTTTAATTTGTGAGAACTTCAGTGACTTTCAATAAAGATCTAACAATCCATGAATTAATTTACTGTCATTTGAAAGCATGTTGGTGAGGTGATTTAACCTCTGTAAGGTCACCCGTTAGCAAGTTTTTAATCATTTTCAAAGTTGTATTTATATGGAGCATTTTCATGTACACAAGAATATACATAAATCTGAATTTGCTCCTATTTAAGCAGTATCTGGAGCGAATACAACATTACATCACATACAAACATAAAATAAATGAACAAATCGATATACAGATGGATAAAAAGCACTGTAAATGTCTCATTTTCAGAAAGGTTACTGGCCTACATTCACAATTCACTTTTGCCATTTTAATGGACATAAATTAGATGTTTTGATTCAATAACTACATGCAGCACAATAAAGCAAGACTGAGCAGATTAGCGCAGCAGTACTAGAATGTGCATGACTGTCTGAACGTTGTCCTGAATGTTACTTCTAAAGCTCAAAATAGGCTGATTACCATGTCTAGTATACAGTAATATGCTAATACCATGTAAACATCTTTTTTAGACTTAACCAGAATATGTACCCTGGAATTGGAAGACAGGCTGCACGAAAACCTCTATGACTGGAAGATTATTTTCTCTTATTTCTTATTTATTAGAATTCTTATTTCTGTCTTAAATAAAATATAAATATTAGATAAAAAATGCAAAACTGGACATCTGGTCTGAGACGCTGGACAGCACCTAACTGAAATATAAAGTTAAAGCACTAAAATTTAAATAACAAGAAATACTAAAAAGACAAAAACAAATAAAAACGAAAAAAGCACAACAAAATGACCAAAACTTTAACTAAAATTGAAATGTAAGCTGAAAATATACAAATAAAACCTAATTCAATATATGAAGTAATACTATGACAATGTACAAACTATTCTTAACTTTAGAATAGATAGTCACTTAAAGGGATAGTTCACCCAAAAATAAACATGTTGTCATCATTTACTCACCCTGATGTTGTTCCAAACCTGTATGAGTTTCTGTCATATGTTGAACACAAAAGAAGATATTTTGAAGAATGCTGGTAATCAAAGAGTTAATGGTCCCCATTGACTTCCATAGTATTGTTTTCCCTACTATGGAAGTCAATGGGGACCAACAACTGTTTGGTTCTTCAAAATTCTTCAAAATATCTTCTTTTGTGTTCAACATAAGAAAGAAACCTATACAGGTTTGGAACAACATGAGGGTGAGTAAAAGATGAAAAAAAAAAAAAACAGTGCCATCTGGTGGAATGCAGAGATATGCTTAAGAATAAATACATCCCACACTCACCTTCAGGCCACGGTTTTGGCCCAGAACCGGTATGAGTCTGCATGGCTGGAGAGGGACATGGGCCCGTTGCAGGCCCTCCATGAGGCACTGGCATACCTAGCAAAACAAAATAAAATTTACAAAATGCCAAAAAATAATTACAAAAAAGTGTAACTAACATGACGACCAAATTCGTACAGAATATCATCAGTTGCATTCAGGCTTTAAAAAACTGCAAAAATAAAAATACAAGAGAAAATTGCACAACTGTAATTTGGACCTAAGGGAATTGGACTCACTGACTAACACTAAAATGACCATACGCATATTCACCTGGAGGTCTATTGTAGGGGCCAGTGTTGATGGGCTGCTGTTGCATGGTGTGGAGGCTCCTCTTGCCCAACACAGCTAACTGTAGATTCTCAGGCAGAGGCTGACCACGACCCAGGATCTTGTATGCCAGGATCTGAGCCCTTAGTTGCTGTAGCTGGACTGGGCTGAAGGCAGACTGACCCCTGGCCTGCTGTCCCATCCCCTGTGGATCCATGGGCATCATGGGTGACTGACCCTGAGACATTTGCGGTGGGGTTGGCCCTCCTCCTGACATAGGGCTGGGCACATGTTCCGGCACCTGGCCCATTGGCGAGGGATGAGGGGACATGTAGCCTAAGAAGCAAAAAAGGAAAGATATATGAAGTTTATTGCCATCAAAGGTGTCATTTAAAAGTGTACTTTGTAATAACTGCCATACCAAAGTTGTTTGTTTTTCTTTTGATATTTTGTCTTTTTCTTTCTGCAGAATAAACCAGCTTTTTCTAGAAGACTGGTATGAATGGAGGCCTCATATAATGTGAGTGAAAAATGTAATGATATTTCCCAAAAGTACTGTGTACAAATCTTAATTTTCAAAAATTATGGTGTGGCCACATTTACTGCCGGTCTGTGAAATGTTGCGAAATCCATTTCGATGGGAATCTGCATGCTTGGAAGTTCTGTATGAGAGTGAAAATGTTCCCCACAAAGATTTTTTCTCGGAGTTAAGTTGGTCACACAAATTTACCACGTTGACTGAAAGAAAGCTGCTTGGTTTGAAAGAGACTTCTGTATAAGCTGTGCTTCATGCATCTCTACATTATTGACAATGGACCTTTTTTGCCCACTAAATTTCACTGACCGCACCTTTAGGCTACCATCAACAATTATAAATAAACATGTATACTACATTTTCGTTCAACAATCCATTACTGTTAATTGCAGAATATTTAATTGTGAACATTTAAAGATACATTTAGGACTGTAAAAAAGTACAGATCAGAGAAAAACTTGGTGTGAAGAAAGCAAAGTACAAAAGATCTTATGTATTACCATATGAGGATAATTAGTGTAACATAAAGGCAGCCCCAAAGATAAGTGCACAAAAAATAAATCAATAAATAAACACTGTGAGATAATTGCCTTAATTACCTCCTTCAGTGGCGGAAGAACAAGAGCCTCTTCTGGTGAACTACAATTATGGTTAAAATTATAACCTCGGAGTGCTTTGTTATTATATTGTGGAAAATATGTAATTGTACCTTGACTGTGTTGATCCATGGGGCTCTGTGGAGGACCCATGCCACTGTGCAGGGATCTCATTCCCACCCCCTTCATCTGGCCAAAGTGCATATCGTCTCCCATCCCCTTCTCATGCATTCCCTCCATAGGCTGAATAGAGGCAGGAGATTAGTCATACATCCTGCTGGCATACTGGCAACTTCAAACATACTGTTTAAAAAATGAACCTGCAACAAGTGCCTTTAAAATTATTTATAGCGTTTTTCTGTTTTTGAATATACTGGACAACTATTGATCTATTTTAATAAAACCATTGCCAAAAGCCATCCTCTACCTTATGCATTAGGTGCATGTCCTGTGAATAGTCTCCTGCCCCTTGGCCCTGCATAGCATGCGGGACACTTGGGGGCCCTGGGCTGGGGCCCATCATACTGTGTACAGAGCCAGGAGAGGGGCTGGGTCCAGAGCTGGGCCCTAGGATGGGCCCCGGAGACAGGCCAGCACCTGGTGAGGGACCAGCATGGGACATTCCAACTGGTGGCTCGTTGGGGGTGGACATCTATTGGCTGAGAATCTGTGGGAAGAAAGGGAAAAAAAGTTTGAACCTACTGTAAATGACAGATTCTCACTTTTGTCCAAATTCTAAAGATTGTTTGACTCCCAAATGACAGCATTTTTCAAAATAGTAAAAAAATAAAATAATTAAATATATATTAAGTGAGACGTTTTATGAAAAAGATGGTTCAAAGCCAAAATAACATTGCTATTAAACTTAATATTAATAAATTATATCAGAATGTGGCAAGTTGCTACATTGTTTATCAAAGCTAGTTAGGCTCATGAATTCAATTGAATTCTGACTATTAATATATAAAACTATGCACATCTGTTGCCTTTTATCATAAAAAAGCAATAAGCCAAGAGAGGCCGCGCATTTCAGTCTCGTGGCTTATTGCATCATAATATATAAATAACCTGAAACCAAGTTCTGTCATAATAAGAAAATATATGCAGTTGTATGATGATTTTTCAGGATCCACATTTTTAAGTAATGCATTTCAACTTATTTTTTCCTGGCCGGGAAAACAGCATTTTACATTTTCCTGAATTTTCCATGACTGTGGAAACCCTGATACTTATTATATGAGGTAGTACCAAGAGTAAAAAAGCAATTCAATTAATTTATTCATTTTTAATAAATAAGTTGCATTTATATTCTAATATTGCTTTATTATTATTATTATTATTAATAATAATAATAATAATGAACACACAATTAAAAGAAACAAATTATTAAACAAGTTATATTCTTTTTCTAAAATTGCTTTACTGATATATTGCTTTATTATTACGGTTGGTATTGCTGTTATTAAGAAGAAGAAGGGGGAAAGTATAAATACGGTCTCCCGCTCATATATGGGGAAACATACAAACAAAGAGGCCAGAAATAGAGAATAAACTCTTCCAGCGTCATTTGCATAACAATGACCCGCGCTGATCTGACACGCCCCCCAGAGCAGCGCTTCTCACAGGACGCCAATAATGACGGAAAGGGGTTTTAAAAATAAATGTATATATAAATAATTACAAAATAAACAGGCACAGGGTGAGATAATAGTACTCTTTTATCATGTAACAACACGTTAACATTTAATTACACACTCTACTGAAAATTACAGTAATTAATCGCGTATCTGTATCTATGAACGATTTAAGTTCATTCACGCAAAACGGAACAAACGGAATAACTTGGAACAAACAATCAATCCGTTGCTGACTGCACAAATGCGCTCATGCAGGCCTGTTTACTGTCCAAAGCAGAACGAGGAAAACTTTTAAAACAACTGATAATTAGGAGTGGCCAACGTCACCCGTAATGTTATAAGAAAAAAAGAAGAAGCTTATAAAAACTGTACAAAAAAAAAGAATAAATTCATTAATAAATGCACATCTAGCGCGGCGCAGGGCTGTAATTTGGAGCGCTGCTCTGATAGGATCATGGCTTCCTCGACCTGCTGTCATGACTGTCTCCCCTCACGCCATTGCAGTTTCCGGAGATCTCAAACTTTCTGGGACCTTCCCACAACAGCGCGCTACCAATGCACGTTTATTAACAGCTCTTCATCTTCCTGGCTTTACAAACTGTTTTGCATTATTCGAGGAGCAGTTTATTCACCTGCTTTTATGTTGTCAAACTTAAAAGCAAGCAAGCAGTAAAAGCCCCGTCTAATATAAGTGAGCAGCAGCTCGCTAACCGTCTGTACAGTTATGTTAGCATGCTAGCCCGCTACATTTCATCAGCAAATGCCAAAAATGCTGCCCATTGACATATATACATTAGTATAAATGTCCAAGCAAAGAGTATTTAAACTCAATTACCTTCTGCGAGGTAAACAACACAATAAAATGTCTAGCACATTATTTCAGCTTCAAAAAATATGACTGCCATATGTTGGTCCCCTCCCCCTCTGTTTCGCGTTTTTTTAGTGTTTTGTCATTTCTGATTCGTTCAGAGCGCAGGAAATACAGTCGTCTCTCTGATGTGATTGGCTGAGCAACACATCGATCATCCCGTGGAATATTTAGGGGCGGGGCCTTTCAAGTGCACTTTCATTTCGCACTCGCAGCAGCGGGCGCCGTCTGGGGCGTTAGGAGACGCACGCTTCAAAATGATCGCGTTTTCACAAGGTCACAGGACTGAATGTGTCGTATTCACGCCTGCATCAGTCCCTATGTATCTAAGGCGTTTTTTTTCTGAAACTACACTACGGAAGAACTGACAGGTTATATGCGTTGCATATGCATTAGTTGCATAACAATGTTGTTGTTTGCTGAACAATGCATTTTATTTGCTGTGAAAAACACGTGTGATGAATGAAAATGTATCATCCTTAAATTAGTGTTAACAATAATTAACTAATTGTTGGATCGAAAATATACCTTTAAATAATAACTCCTCTGCTTCTGATTGGTTCGTACACTTGGAGGGCTGTACCTGATTGGTCCCCATCTCTGAAGCCCACCCCCACACCTAATCGTAACAATTTTCAACAACAAAAGCTTCTTAATTAGAATAGCCTATATAGTGAATCCGAACTACAATTTCAATATAACCATAATTTTGCATATCACATCTGATCTGTTGGGTAACAAGAATGTTTAACAAAATTTTAAACGGTTCTCTTAGGACAAAGGTAACTATTGTTCATGAATGTCATCTTATGAGGCAAGCTGTCACAATAGTAGGTAGGCCTATAGCCTAGGCTACAATTTCTTGATTTATATTTGTTGGCCGAAATGTTTTCTTTTGGACGTTACGTTTTACAATTCATTTGCATTTCATTTTTACTGTTTAAAAAAATGATCTGAAAAGCCTATAATAGGCTGTTTAATGTGTAAGATTTAATAAACCGTTTGGTTTAACACGCGACTATTAGAGGTTTTTGGTGTAAAAATGTAGTAAAACGTTAGTTTTATACTGTAACCACACGAGGGAGGCAGTGCTCAAGAATTCAATGAGGTTCAAACGCAATCTACATGCGTCAGTCAACAGTCAGTACATAGTGTTAAGAGGGTAATTCGTGTGTTGACACTTGTAACTCATTTATATAATAAGTTAGGCTAATTAATTATCTAATTTGCCAACCATGCAATAATGCACAAATGTGCAAACGAAATTACCTATTAAAATAATAATAAAATAAAAATTAAATGGTTCATGTAGTTATTGTTTAATAGGCCTACAATAGTTTTCAGATTTGCTGTAATGTCATTAGCAATATGCTACGAAATTACTGATTTCATCTTAACTTCAATTGTAAATATTAATATACATTTATATTCATGTTCTTGGCAAATGTTTTCATAGCATCCTAAAATAAAGCACACTGTTTGTATACGTACATGAGAGAAATCAAGAGCTGAATAAACCTCAAATGTCATTAAAAACACAGTGCAGGTACAGATACAAGTGGTGTTGAGTGCTTGAGAGATGAAGGTTAAACCACAAAGCCCTAAAAACAACAGTATCAGTGCTGTCATAGTTTTACACTGCTGTTTAGCAAAACAAGAGGCCTGCTTACATACTGTATAATATGTGACCCTGGACCACAAAATCAGTCATAAGGGTCAAATTTTTGAAATTCCGATTTATACATCATCTGAATAAGCTTCCCATTGATGTATGGTTTGTTAGGATAGGACAATATTTGGTCGAGATACAACTATTTGAAAATCTGGAATCTGAGGGTGCAAAAAAATTTAAGTATTGAGAAAATCGCCTTTAAAGTTGTCCAAATGAAGTTCTTAGCAATGCATATTACTAATCAAAAATTAAGTTTTGATATATTTACTGTAGGAAATTTACAAAATATCTTCATGGAACATGATCTTTACTTAATATCCTAAAGATTTTTGGCATAAAAGAAAAATCGATAATTTTGACCGTACAATTTATTGTTGGCTATTGCTACAAATAAACCCCAGCGACTTAAGACTGGTCTTGTGGTCCAGGGTCACATATAATGAGTAATAAAATAGATAAATGAAAAAATTAAAGAAAGAAAAAACATTAGGCAAACTCTACTTCTGTTCCATAGCAAGTTGTACCTGAGGGACTTATGCAAATCAGTTTGCTTTCTATTGTTCTGAATGGAAATAGTTTCTATTTTAATGGAGGGATATGATTTTATTGGTTAAGTTAAAATGGCTTTGAGTAAGCTCTCTGGTTTATTGCACTTCTGTTGTGCTGTTTCTGTTGACGGTTAAATGTCTTAGGAATATAAGTAGTTAGACGTTGATATAATTTATGACATAATTGTCACATTAATTGTTAAGCTGAAAAGTGCTGATTGTATCTTGTTTGCAGAGGAGCATTTCTAACATGTTTTAGTTATGATGACATCAACATTGTAATCTGGAATCCTTCACATATATACAAAGTCAAGATTGACGTGATCTATTAATTTTTTTTAATAACTGAAATTGCATTTAATCTAGTTGTAATTAAGTTCTTTTTTTTTCTTAAATTATAAATTAAAATATCTAAAACATATTGAAATGATACATTTGTCTTTTGGATAGTAATCATGTATTTACAAATTGTAACAGCAGCCCTAACAAAACATAATTTGGGATGCAGTGTAACCTTATCGCCCATCAGCTTTCTCTGACACCTGTCTGATGCTATCAGGTGAGATAGGCATGTTGTTGAATGTGACTTCAGTGTTGGAATGACAGATAGTATTCTTGTGGTTGTTTCTCTTATCAAGTCAATTCCAACCGCATGGTAAAATAAATGACCTTTTGTCACACTTTGATCATTGACACACACAATGATTTTATGTGCACTGTTCAGAACATGATTCAGGGTTTTTAACAAACAAAAAGAAAGAAAAAAAAGTTTTTCTCAGATGTTTTAAAACATGCTGCAGATTATATACAGGTTGATATTCAAGTTTTCTATTCGATTTTTATTTTTAACAGATAAATAACCGGTCACAAAGAATATAAAATGTAAAAATGGTCATAATGAGCAAAGCAATTAAGTCCATTATGATTACTAGGAATGAACTGTCCGTTAATGTTGCGTTTTCTCAAATCCGATCAACAATAGACAGATAAGTGAAATGAATCAAATTAAAAGTTGTTGGACTGCAAGGCACAAACTAAAGGTTGTATTTGAATAGCCTTTGGACAGGTAAACAAAGTATATGGTTTTGGCTCTGTCTCTGCTTCCTTTCATCAGTAATCCTTCATTTTCTTGCCATTTTCAAAAAAGGATGTGTGCAAGGTTCCTGAATGTAAATTCATCCAAATAAAGCCTCCAAATAACCTGAATGGTTAGTGCCTCCACTTCAGATTCGCTGGGCAGGAAAGACCAGACCAGCGTTCATTTGACATGGAAAATGACAGTGGACAGTGGTTTCAAAATCAATTTGCCTTAAAACCATTACCTCCTCAGGCTGCCCACCATGAAATTTGCCCACTGTCCAAATTAGGGCAAGCGTAGTCGCCTAACCTGTACTCATCCTATAGTCAGGTGATCAGCCACTATACATATTTGAATTAGTCAAACATGTTAAATGACACTTAGCAGCTTAATGCCAAGTGATTAAATCTCAAATATGCCTTCTAACTACCAGGTCAAATGAGCACAACGGTATAAACACATATAGGCATTTAGCTTTATGGAAATAGGCCTTATAATAACAATCCCATGTGCATTACAATAGGCCCAAGTGTTTTAACAAATGTAATGTATTCAAGACAATTTTAGCTCGAGTGGGCGTCATATGAACACATCGGTTATTACAGTCGCCACGGCAATATCGGCATTCACCACGCTCTGTATTTGCACAGTGGCCGCAGCTAAATATATATGTCATGGATTGGAGCGGCTTTCATGGGCTGCTTTGGCTAATTGCCTGTGTTTTCCAGGTGTGACCCAACCAAAGGCACGTTATATTTAGTTTTACATGTGACATCTGTTTCGGGGGCTTGTTTGTTTTGTACGTGGTGCTGTTGGTATTCTGAGCGTCCCAGGTGGATAACTTTCCTTATTAAGCCTTTCGTATTTAAATGAAGCCACGCGGCAAAGGGGTCTGTCGTGAGCCATTACACTTTTGAATTTGATGTTATTGACACCCAATATGCCTAAAACAAATATCAGTTTGTGGAGGATACTTAAAAGTTTGAATATACTCATGTCATGTTTCAATGCACGACACTCTCTGGTTCCAGGCTCTTTTGTTTTCCAGGGATAAGTTGTGGCCTAATGAACTGGAGTTATTTTTTTATCATCCTACAGACACCATATATGTCTGTTCTTGTGAAATAAAACATCCAGAGATACAAATGAACCTGTCAAGCACCTCTAAATCTAACTTCTAAGAATCTAAGCAGTGTCCATTTTGTCCATCCATGGCAATAAACGGTTTCTTAAAGATCCCTCTTGGCCAATTGGCTACATCCTTCTCTTTTTATCTCGCACGCTCTGGCCAATGTTTATTTGCTCCTCGTTCTGTCATCCCATTGAAAGTGGATTTATCTGCAGGTGTGGGACACCTTCCATCACTTGACCCTTTAATTTCACCGCTCCGGTACTCGATTTGTGAACCCCGGGATTTTAAACAGGCTCTTGGGACCAGCATCTGATAAAGAGCAGTGCTGGAAATCTTTTTCCAAGATGGTGCGGGATTCCAGAGGGGTCAAGATAGGCTGGGGGGGAAGGAAGCGCTGTCAGTGAGGCCTCTTTGTAGTTGCCTTTGTTGCAGGTGTTCTGCCACTCACTATTATCCTCTGCTGTCTGTTAATCATCTTTCCCTGCATGACATCTGCTAAACTAAGACACATTACTATCAGAAAAGGGGAGCTGCACTAAAAATACAGAGAATCAACAAAATTAGGTCCATGGACTGGTTAGTTGCTCGCTTACATGTTGTCTGACATGTTTACTGAGAATC